TATATGATGCGGCCAAATTTGAAATTTAATACATAAAGTGGCCAAATTTAAACTTAAAATCTATAGGATAGCCAAATTTGAGATTTTTTCATAAAAAAAGTGGCCAAATTTGAAATTTTAATATAAAACTACTCTTATTTTGAATCTTTATTTTGTTTAGCTTGATTAGATCTGTTACTTAAAAAATTTTTTAGATGTTTATTCTTTTTTTTGAATGAGGAGTAGTAATTTAAAATTTTGTATATTTATTTATTGGGACTAGGTTGTTCGCACTGTACAAAAATTTTTTTCTCCTAATTAAAGCTATCTAAAATTTTCAAGATTATATTTTAGAAACGTAACTTTCAAATAAACGATGTAGATCTCAGTAGATCTCAAGCCCCACTAACTTTTATTAGGAGCGACTTGAACAAAACCAGTGTGTTATATAAAGTTGTTACATTAATTAACTAAAAGTTTAAAGCTTCACGTGAACAAGATATATTATCGTTATCGTTTATCGTTACAAAAATTACGAGAGTATCACAAGTCAGGAGTAACTGGTAATACTGTAATATAAAAATTCTATTGTTAACGTTAACAATATAAAATTTGTGTTAAGTACTTTTTCAATAGAAATAACTGACCAATAAAAACGAACCAGCATTGGTAAAGTTTGCTTCGATTGGTTGTTTATTTCTATTAAAAAACATTGTTACATGAACTTTTATATTATTTATTTATAATGATTCAAAAATAGACAAAAAATTTTATAATTAATAAAACAAAATTATACGTAGGATTAATCTAGATCTAGCATGGGTGCGATTGTGCGATTCTCTTATCGCGCTTTATTTTAATTGGCTAATTTTGCACCATGCGATACTCTTATTTGTCGCCCTCCAACCAAATTTCAAGATCAGGTGTAACGTAAAAAATGGCGAAACACCTAACTAAAAAAATTTCTTGCAAAAAATTTTGATATAAACTATGCCTGCACTAATCCTAAATCGAACCTGCCCTAACCCTAACTAAATCGAAGTAAAAACGTTTTGTTTTATTTTACGTTCCACTGGATTATGATTTACTATAGGTGTGCGAGATATAAATGTGTAGCATGGTGTGATATATACATTTATTCAAAATTATATTACTAAAAACGTATGTTAACGTTTGACATCCAGTTGTTCCACCAACTTATTTTAGACGATATTGGTATGTAACACTAAACTATGGCATTAAATTTTTGGCTTTTAAAACCGAAAAAAAAACTAATAAAAATCGTTATTTCTTTCGATTAAAAGTTTCGAACTTCGCAATGAAATTAAACTTGACATTTGCACGATTTTGAAGTGATTTCCTCTTCTTCAAATGTTTAATAAAGAATTGATATTTATGAATCTTTGATGTGAAACAAATTTGCAAACTTGATCATTTTATTTCTTTGATTTTTTCTCTCCCGTTTTAGTTGTTTTCAAAAGGTGTGAACGAACGTAGATCATTATATCATGGGAAATTTAAAACGGGTATAAATACACTTGCTTTTGAACAAGCTTGATATTAACAACCTTCAAAAGTCATGGTAGAACCAAAAGCAGTAACAACGATCGAATGGAATAACGATAAATTATACATCAATGTTATAATATATAGTCAATTATTTTCAATCTTAGTAGCTGGTTGTGTTATCACTTGGATTACGTCTACTCAAAGAAGTGATCGAATTTCTTTATTTTTAATCTTAGGATTTATCGCTTGGATTACGTGTACTACTCAAAGAAGTGACCAATATTAAAAGTAAGTCGACATTTTTCATAATTCAATTACAGTTCAAAAATAGATTACCAATAAATTACAAATCAAGGAGTCACGAGGATCTGCAGATCAGAACTTATTTCTTTATCAATTTTCTTTTGATATTTTCCATTTTAGTATTATTATATACATGTATTTTTCGTATTTTTTCTTTTTTTTTTCTTTTTTTATGGGTATCCGTTAGCCATCTGTACTTAATTTTGTATGTTTTTCATAATTT